CCACAAAATGGCCGCCGCCCTCATTAGCATAAGGGGGCGGGGCCTCATTTGCATATATGCTAATTGCGGCGCGATGCAAGATTTATTCCCCAGATCACACCAACAGCAGCTTCCCCTCCAACCCTTCCACTCCCGTGGCCTCGCCGCCGTCGCTCGCAGGTAAAAACCCCAAAATCCCCAAATTTTCCCCCAAAATTTTTCGGGAATTCTCATCCCAAAAATCTGCTCCGAAATTGCCCGAAAAAGCCGTTTTTTACCCCGAAAAAATCCGAGTTTTTTTGGGTTTTTTAAGGGGTTTTGAAGCGAAATAAATGGAATTTTTTTCGGTAAAAAATGGAATTTTTCCTCTAAATTTTCACCGTTTTTTCCCCAAAATTATAAAAATTTATTCCCAAAAAAACAGATTTTTTTCCCAAAAAAATTTTGGATTTTTTCCCCGTTTTCTAGCTTTTTTTTCACCCAAAAAAATCCAATTTTTAAGGATTTTTACCCCAAAAAATTGAATTTTTCCTCCAAATTTTCACCATTTTTTCCCCAAAATTATAAAAATTTATTCCCAAAAAAACAGATTTTTTCCCAAAAAATTTTGATTTTTTTCCCCATTTTCTACCTTTTTTTTACCCAAAAAAATCCAATTTTTTCCCAATTTTTAAGGATTTTTACCTCAAAAAGTCGAATTTTTCCTCAAATTTTTCACCATTTTAAAAATTTATTCCCAAAAAACCAGATTTTTTCCCCAAAAAATTTTTGGATTTTTTTCCCCATTTTCTACCTTTTTTTTACCCAAAAAAATCCAATTTTTTCCCAATTTTTAAGGATTTTTACCCTCAAAAAGTCGAATTTCTCCTCCAAATTTTCACCGTTTTTCCACAAAATTATAAAAATTTATTCCCAAAAAAACAGATTTTTTTCCCCAAAAAAATTTTGGATTTTTTCCCCATTTTCTACCTTTTTTTCACCCAAAAAAATCCAATTTTTTCCCAATTTTTAAGGATTTTTACCCTCAAAAAGTCGAATTTCTCCTCCAAATTTTCACCGTTTTTCCCCCAAAATTATAAAAGTTTATTCCCAAAAAACCAGATTTTTTCCCCAAAAAAATTTTGGATTTTTTTCCCCATTTTCTAGCTTTTTTTTACCCAAAAAAATCCAATTTTTTCCCAATTTTTAAGGATTTTTTACCCTCAAAAAGTCGAATTTTTCCTCCAAATTTTCACCGTTTTTTCCCCCAAAAATATGAAAATTTATTACCCAAAAAATCCTATCTTTTTCCCTCAAAAATTTGTATTTTTTCCCATTTTTTAGCATTTTTTACCCCAAAAAATCGA